AGTTACATGCTCTGCACCCGAAGAGGTGATTTTGTTTAAGGCAACGTTTTCAGTTGCATTTTTTGGAGCCTTAAGAATAAGTGAAATTGTTCCTTGTTCACGTATGGACAGTTCTGGTAGGGCTCTCTTGCTATCAGATATTCAAGTTTCTGAACATGGTATGCAACTGACAATTCGACACTCAAAAACAGATCAGTTAGGAAAAGGACAGTCCATAATGTTAGCCAAGGCGCCTCAAGGACATATTTGCCCGGTACAAGCTTTGAATAATTACTTACAAATACGTCCGGGTAATACTGGATACTTGTTTTTACATTTATCTGGTTTACCATTAACACAGTATCAATTCAGAGCAGTATTGCGAGGCGTTTTAAGTCATGCTGGTCTACCATCGGGTCAATTTTCATCACATTAATTTAGGATTGGAGCGGCTGCAGCAACACAGGGTCTGAGTGAATCTACAATTCATAGGATTGGTCGTTGGTGCTCTAGAGCGTTTAAATCTTATGTTCGCACTTAAATTTGATGTACTTATAATGTTCTTGTTCTGGTTTAATTTGGCAGAATTGATTCCAGGAGACGTGTGGATACTTGGACACAGTTTGGTATTCTGGGCTGAGAGACACAGCATTGAGCAGCGGCTGGATGTGGCCGGTGGACTAGGACTGGCGGGAACCGTGAGATGGTTTGGGCGCAGAGGCATGCTGTGGGGAGCCATACTCCCTAGAATAATTGAACTGATGGCTTCATTCTCACAGCCTAAAATATTATTGATTCATCTGGGAGAAAACGATCTTCCAAAAATGACTTCGTTACAATTGACTAGGAGAATATTTAAAGACATGAAGGAGATTCAGCATATGTTGCCGAATACACTCCTCATGTGCACAAAGTTTCTTCCTAGACGAGTTTGGCATGGGGCCAGAAGTGACGTTGCCATTGATGGAGCCCGGCGTTGGTTAAACAGATTTGTGTCGAAGACATTAAAGAAGATGGGGGTGGTTATTGTTGATCACCAGGGAATTCAGTTTGGGTTACCACATATGTACAGGGGTGACGGTGTGCACCTCTTCCCTCAGGGGAACGACATATACCTGTTAACATTGGAGTCTTTCTTGGAGGCTTCAATAAGGGGGGGGAGAGGGGATGCCAAGCTAGGCTGACCCCCTCTTGTGGCAGGCAGGGACCCTCCCCCCTTTAGGGAATTTTGTAGGTTAATTGGATTTATTAATTGGCAAAGAACAATAAACAAATGGGGTATATGTCATGAGATTAAACAAAAATTTTGATGACGTCATATTTTAAATCAATGATGTCATAACATGGTTTTGTCATAAAAATGATTTGACATCATATCCGGTGGGGGAGGGGTTTCATATTTGGATATGAGCTTACCTAAGTTAAAGAATTGGCGTATGCCTTATAAAAGGTAAATATTCAATAGCGCCTGCCCTTAAAACTAGTGGGCATGCATCAAAATAGATGATTGTTAAGAGATATTTAAATTGAGGATAAAATGTAGTTGTTTAGATGGAAATTTAAATATTTCACACCCTGTACAAATAAAAGTTGTGGCCAATGTTTCATCCATTCAAATTTGCGTTGGTGTCCTTTTGTGCAGATGCAAGGACCCCCCCCGACGAATTGGGAGGGGGCCTTGTTTGCGTCTGCCAGGAAAAGGGCAACGATGCGTGATTGGCCAGGAGGACCGGAAGGCCCGCCTTTCCGGTCACCCTGGCCAATGGGGAGGGAATCTCGTGCCAAGTCTCACGAGATTTTAAATCTCGCGGGATTTGGTCGCGAGATTTGCAGGGCTATAAAGCCCACAGCCGCCACGTGTTGGCAGCCATTTTAAGTTGAACGAGCAACCCATCCCTCCCACCCATTGATTGTTGGTTAACATGTTGGTCGCCTTCAAAGGGTCCGGGAGGGAATTTTCCCAGTTTTGACTGGGTTTTTCGCCCTTCCTGGGAAAACGACATTACCAACTATTATATTTCAGGTTGTTGATGGTTGTCATTGTCGGGGGGAAAAATTTTCAGGGAGGAATTTATGACTAAGGTTATATTAGATTTATAAAAATTCAAAATTAAGATGCTATAGTTTGTCACAACTAGGGATGTTGAGTTGTTACAGTTATTGTGCAGGGGTTTTGAATGGTTGGCGGGCAGGGACCCTCCCCCCTTTTGGGAATTTTGTAGGTTAATTGGATTTATTAATTGGCAAAGAACAATAAACAAATGGGGTATATGTCATGAGATTAAACAAAATTTTTGATGATGTCATATTTTAAATCAATGATGTCATAACATGGTTTCGTCATAAAAATGATTTGACGTCATATCCGGTGGGGGAGGGGTTTCATATTTGGATATGAGCTTACCTAAGTTAAAGAATTGACGCATGCCTTATAAAAGGTAAATATTCAATAGCGCCTGCCCTTAAAACTAGTGGGCATGCGTCAAAATAGATGATTGTTAAGAGATATTTAAATTGAGGATAAAATGTAGTTGTTTAGATGGAAATTTAAATATGTCACACCCTGTACAAATAAAAGTTGTGGCCAATGTGTCATCCATTCAAATTCGCGTTGGTGTCCTTTTGTGCAGACGCAAACAGCATTTGTGTTTCTTTCTGGAACAAAACCTAACGACATTACTGGATTTTACATATAACCACTATCCTAAACTGAC